AACTAGGAATTACAATAATATTATTAAGTCATATCAAATTACATAAAGCCGCACCAGCTCTCGTCTTTTGCTGAGACAAGAACAAAACACTGTTCTTCGCGGAGAGCAAGACGTTCAGAAGCAAAAAAGTGTTGGCTTTGAATATGTGCAAGCACGAAGCCAAGAAAAAGATCAGTAGAGAAAACGACCTAGAGAGTGATACGTTAATATTTTCTTTTTTTACCCTGAGTCGAAGTAGAATTTTATGCAATCTCTTGTTTTATTATAAATAAATTAAACAAACACCGTGCAAGCCGGATCAATGTCTACCAAGATGCCCACCAACATGTCCTATACTCTATTCAAGTTAAACGCAAGTAACGCGTAAACGCAATAGCCGCTTGACCACGGCACATTGAACTAGTCGGTAGGGAAACGTTCAAAATCGGATCACTGGGCTGGCCAATACCAGTCGGGCTTGTGCGTATCATGCTGTGGTCAAGCGGCTATTGTATTTACGCGTTACTTGCGTTTAAGTTGAATAGAGTATAGACAATGTCATCCTCGTCATACCTTCTTTCTTTCTAGCAAAATGCCCACGAAAGTGGGCACCATTCATTCCTCCTCCATGTCTTCCGAGATGCCCGCCAGCATGCCCTAGACCATGCTCCCCAGTAATTTTTCCTCCATGCTGCCCACCCCCTTGCCCGCCGTGCCCACCATGCCCGTCATGCCCTTCATGCCCTAAGTGAGCATGTACTTCATGTTTTAAATATTCATCAAGCTGCCCTTCATGTCCACCTTGTTGACGATCTTTTAAACAAATGTGTCCCCAGAGTCTGAATCTCAAATAAGAAAAAATGTTGTCTTTATAGCAAAAACGAGAAACACGACTTGGTATTCTCCAAAATAGGTACACTAACAAAAATAACCATTCCTAATTAAATTCACCAAGAGATAAGCTCGTTTCTCTCTATTGGTATTAATAATATCAGCGTACCTAATTTTTGAACGATAAAAAAGTATTATCGAAAAACAAATTTGGGGTAAATTTAAATTAAATTGAACAATTATTACATTAAAAAAGTACCTTACAGATTTATCTAATTTATATAGCCCAATAATAAAAATTCCATATGGATAATTGTCGTTTTATTTGATTGAATCATTTAATCGGTTTCTATTGTGACATTTTCTTATAGAAATAATTAGGTCAGTCTAATGGTGACTTCTTAGATAATTACTTTATGAACTTTTTAGAATAAATTAATTGTAGGTTATTCAATAATGATTAGTAACTAGTGACATTACTTATACAAAAAAATGTTTATAATCGAATCAGTTATCGAGACGATGCTAAGAGCCTTTATACTTCCAATTTGCTGTAGTGTCTATACTTTTTCATTGACAGTTATCATTCTACCCCTCTCCACTTCATTGTCTGAGAATAACAACCAAGGCCAAGATATTGACAGCATATCATCCATCATAGCGATATCTAGACTTTCTGAGGGCTATAACTTTGGCTATGACTATGATGACTAGTCTTCATAGCTAGATTCAAACAATTATTTTGACAAGTGTGTGACACTCGTCATAAATGACTTAATCAAGTTACATTTACATTGAAAGTTACCAATTTAAGCAAAGTTAACAAAAATACTCTGCTTCAAATCAAAATTCTAGTGCAATAAAAGTACCTAATTTTTGCTAACCAGAAATTAGGAAATTAACCATTTATCTTATTGATATAATCATTTCACAGTAAGTATTATTTACTTGTATCTTAAAATATTTATTTTTACCTATTTTAGAAATACTTTGTTACCATTTCTAAATTCTGCGCAAATTCTACCAAAGTATGGGAGATTGCTGCCCTCCAATATGTCCTAAACCATGCCCACCAGTATGTCCTCCTCCATGTTGTCCCAAGTGCCCACCAATTTGTCCAAGAATATGCCCGCCATGTATTGCTACGCCATGTCCACCCAGATGTCCTCCTGCTTGTCCTCGGCCGTGTCCTCCTGTTATACCTCCTCCATGCCTACCAAGATGTACACCAGCCTGCCCTAGACCATGCCCCCCAGTCATACCGCCGCCGTGCCTGCCCAGATGTACACCCGCTTGTCCTAGACCATGTCCACCAGTTATACCTCCTCCATGCTTACCAAGATGCCCACCGGCATGTCCTAGACCTTGCCCACCAGTCATACAGCCGCCGTGTCTGCCCAGATGTACACCCGCTTGTCCTAGACCATGTCCACCAGTTATACCTCCTCCATGCTTACCAAGATGCCCACCGGCATGTCCTAGACCTTGCCCACCAGTCATACAGCCGCCGTGTCTGCCCAGATGTACACCCGCTTGTCCTAGACCATGTCCACCAGTTATACCTCCTCCATGTCTGCCGAGATGTCCTCCTGCATGCCCTAGACCATGCCCCCCAGTAATACCTCCTCCCTGTCTACCCAGATGCACACCGGCATGCCCTAGACCTTGTCCGCCTGTAATTCCTCCTCCATGTCTCCCCAGATGCCCACCAGCTTGCCCTAGACCTTGTCCACCAGTAATTCCTCCTCCATGCCTTCCCAGATGCCCACCAGCTTGTCCTAGACCTTGTCCACCAGTCATTCCTCCTCCATGCCTTCCCAGATGTCCTCCGGCATGCCCCAGACCGTGTCCCCCGGTTATTCCTCCGCCATGTCTTCCCAGGCGCCCTCCATGTGTTTTCCCACCATGTTGCTTTCCATGCCCTAAATGTCCATCATGTCCTTCATGCTCTAAATGTCCATCATGTCCTTCATGCTCCAAATGTCCATCATGTTCTTCATGTACTAAATGTCCATCATGTCCAACATGCTGCCCACCTTGTTAATAATCCATTAGACAAATATATCGCCAAAAAATAATACTTGAAGAAATTTTGATAATAATATTAAAACTCATCAAATAACTGAAACAAAGATAAATATCTCTAAGAAGTTATTTAAAAAATAGCGCTTATTTCCCAAAGTGTTTTACATAATCTATTTAAAAATATATTGAATATAATCCTAACTTTGATATCTAATAAACAATAGGTATGTAAAATTTTTATTCAAATAAAATAATAAATAAAATTAGCTTTATGATTATTATTTATTGATTTGATGCTTGCTTCCATTTTTGTTAAACATAACATAGATTTTGAGTTTTATTTGCCTCGTTGGAGATGACCACATCTGAAACGTAAATTATCTTCTGAATTAGTCTATGGATTAATATTATTGGCCTCTTTACAATTCTTATCAGAAATTAGTTACTTGAATAATAATAAAATATCAGGTCTCAATTTTCTTTTCGAAAAGGCTTCCTGAATCTTCACCTCACAGAAATTTTGTATGTGATTGTATTATTGCCAGCGAATTTATGCTTTTTCTTAAAAGTAACATGAAAGATAATTTCAAAAGGGGTTATTTTTTGTTTATAATATGTAGTGATTGTTTTAATTTTAAAAGATATCTTCTAATTAGGTACCTCTTATTTAGAACCATTTCTCCAAATCGTCAATAAATACTAGATATTGATATCATTATGATTTAGTAGGTACTCAGATTGATTACTATGCCAATGCCAATCGAATGTTTAAAATGCATAATTAGTTATTTTAATGTCCTATCCGTGGTTTCCTGGCGAAATTAACAGTGTTTTGTGCTTTTATCACACAAACGTTCGTTACTAATCTGGTTTTTGTATAGAATTAGTTTAAATAATAGTTACTAAGTGCTTTGAGGGTGGATTTTGATCAAAAACAATATGTAGTTTGTACATGAGGGAAAATGTTGCTCGTATTACGAGTAGAAATTTTTTTTAATTAGAAGTGCAAAGTGTAATAAAAAGAACCTACATTGCAATTAAACACTCCGAGCATATCAGATACGCATCAACTTAATCACAGAGCACTGAAATCAATGTAAAATTGGAGTTTGTGCACACAAATTACTGGGTTATGTCTGAGCTTCATCAGGCTACAATCTTTTACTAGTCCAAGTTTACTAAGTTGTCCTTTAACTCCACAATGCCCCCCGGTAAGGATCTTCGTTACTCTGCGTAGTTTATTCTTACTCAGGCATATCTTTTAGGGTTATAGTCACCCAGAATCTACGTTAAACCTCTATCTTTAATTTGGCTGAAAATTAGGTTTTTATCTACTATATATTCAGAGATTAATCGATTTATCTTTTGGTCCTACATATACGGTTTTTATACACAGGGATAACCCTTCCTTGTAATTTATTAAGTACCTACATTGATATTTTGTACCCGTAAGTTATTTTCATATTTGATTTTTTCTGGCATCTCTTTTACTACTCTTCTTAAGCTGTTTCATAGTTCTCTTTTTATGAAACCAGATGTTTTGTCTACTAAAGAGTCGCTTGAAAATTCCTACGGTTCTTACGATCAACATCTGCATTTATATAAATTTTGAAATTGTCTGATAACGCGTGGTTGGATTTCCAATACAACCTATAAAATCAGTATCTATCAGTACCGAACGGTACTTCACATACAAACGCATAAGTCCGTCGCGCTTATACGCCATTTTACTTTTGTAATAATTTATTCTATATGTGAAATTAACATGTTCGAAAGCCTTGAAATGCATACAAATTAAATGTTATACTCGTATGGTGTGTTTCCTGCCCATGTGAACAGAAAGAAACAACATTGCGTAAAATGAGTCTGACGACCGACCGAAGACGCGCCATTGTCCATTGTTACATACTTTGCCGACTCGCTTTGCTTGTGCCCCGCAGTATTATTAAGCTACCGCTAGAAGCACCCGCAAAATCCATTATTTGTTTAGGATTTACTTAATTATACTATTTTAAATACATATATTAAATTGAGAATTAATTATTTCTGTGGAAAATTCTCAATATTTTTTATTTTAGAAGTTTATTCAACAGAACAAATTGATTTTTGTAAATATTACATCCCTGGTCTATTGACCTTTTGCTTCGTTGCAATTCTAATATTAATTATCCTGATCTATCTCGCATCTCGTATCTCGTATCTCGTATCTCGTATCTCGTATCTCGTATCTCGTATCTCGTATCTCGTATCTCGTATCTCGTATCTCGTATCTCGTATCTCGTATCTCGTATCTCGTATCTCGTATCTCGTATCTCGTATCTCGTATCTCGTATCTCGTATCTCTCGTATCTCGTATCTCGTATCTCGTATCTCGTATCTCGTATCTCGTATCTCGTATCTCGTATCTCGTATCTCGTATCTCGTATCTCGTATCTCGTATCTCGTATCTCGTATCTCGTATCTCGTATCTCGTATCTCGTATCTCGTATCTCGTATCTCGTATCTCGTATCTCGTATCTCGTATCTCGTATCTCGTATCTCGTATCTCGTATCTCGTATCTCGTATCTCGTATCTCGTATCTCGTATCTCGTATCTCGTATCTCGTATCTCGTATCTCGTATCTCGTATCTCGTATCTCGTATCTCGTATCTCGTATCTCGTATCTCGTATCTCGTATCTCGTATCTCGTATCTCGTATCTCGTATCTCGTATCTCGTATCTCGTATCTCGTATCTCGTATCTCGTATCTCGTATCTCGTATCTCGTATCTCGTATCTCGTATCTCGTATCTCGTATCTCGTATCTCGTATCTCGTATCTCGTATCTCGTATCTCGTATCTCGTATCTCGTATCTCGTATCTCGTATCTCGTATCTCGTATCTCGTATCTCGTATCTCGTATCTCGTATCTCGTATCTCGTATCTCGTATCTCGTATCTCGTATCTCGTATCTCGTATCTCGTATCTCGTATCTCGTATCTCGTATCTCGTATCTCGTATCTCGTATCTCGTATCTCGTATCTCGTATCTCGTATCTCGTATCTCGTATCTCGTATCTCGTATCTCGTATCTCGTATCTCGTATCTCGTATCTCGTATCTCGTATCTCGTATCTCGTATCTCGTATCTCGTATCTCGTATCTCGTATCTCGTATCTCGTATCTCGTATCTCGTATCTCGTATCTCGTATCTCGTATCTCGTATCTCGTATCTCGTATCTCGTATCTCGTATCTCGTATCTCGTATCTCGTATCTCGTATCTCGTATCTCGTATCTCGTATCTCGTATCTCGTATCTCGTATCTCGTATCTCGTATCTAGTATCTCGTATATTGTTTACTTTCTATATAAATGAACTCCCTGAGCTACTTTTTGAAGCATTTGCAATACTGTATGCAGATGATTCAACCCTTCTTTTCTCAAATTTATCAGAAGAAATACTGCCAAATAAATAAAATAATATGTTTTCCGAATGGTCCATTAATCAATATCTGTTATTTAACATCTTCGAAACAAACTACTAATGCTTTTCATACTTAGACTACAAAGTCTAATTACTTGTTACTTTTAAAGTCCTGGTCGCTTCTTCTATGGGTTTACATTAAGACTATTTTTAAGTTAATGATATGACGAAAAGTCGTTGCTTTCATTTACAAGATAATAAATAATTAGGTTATGGTCAGAGAGTTAATGTAGATTGTCTTAAATAGCATACAAAAATTTGAGACGGGACACCTCCAAAAAATATTAGATACTTACTCTACCCCGGTTTGACGTCTTCAACACAACTACAACACGATTTTTTTTTTTCAAATTTAATTTCAGTCTTATTCAGTGTAATGATTATCGTTAATTATTAATAAATAACGTTTAATTACCTTTGTTAATTAATTACAATTCATTTTGACTAGCTCTTAGATATGTTTATAAAAAAAAGCATTTACTCACCTTAATCGCCTTAATCCAATCAGAAAATCAAATGAGTATATGAGACTAGTTGTCTTAGTCGTGAATTCAGGCTGTTCTAATAGATACTTCTGGGAAATATTTTTAAGGATATATGGGCGCCAATTATTCTCTTTTTTATTTTTAAAAAGCTAGTTGAGAATTATAAATGCTAGCCTTTACCAAAAGGACAAAATTAACTGATCAACTCAGAGTTATAAATAATTTGTTATATTAAATTTGTTTATTAACAGTGGAAATGTTCATCGACTTGTACAATTACCAAATAAAATTTACAAGTAATATTAGAAATCCAATTCAAAGAACTAGCGAATTTAGAAACAGTTGAAAACTCTAAGATTGTCTAATGGATTTTATCCAGACAATTTGTCATTGTAGTGGATATTTTTACCAATTGGCCGTCTATGATTTAATACATAAAAAATAAAATAGGCATAAATCAACCTCACTACAGTGTGGTAATCAGGATGCTGATTCTCTGCGATTCAACTCAACGAGTCGACTTTAATTCTTTGATGTAATTCAATTACATCAAGGTACGGCTTAGGTATTTACGAATCGTAGACTTCCAAATATTCGCTCTCTAAACAAAAATAAACTCTATTTTTTACGAGGCCCTTGCAAGAGATACAAGCTAAACTTTTCAATAATTACTTTTAAAATTTCCAGTAATTAAAAAATTAATACATTTACTTTTTCATAGTAATAAAAATTAATATGAACAATATGAATTTCCAGCAACATACAAAAGAATTAATAAACACGTATCGAATAATTCAAAATTGACTTTTGAAAATGAAACTTATAATTAAACAAAAGGTAGAAATGTAAAGAGTAATTAGATTTTTTCAATGACATTAAAACTTGCGAAACAGTTTTCGTTTTTATCTTTTGCCTCGAAAAGCATCATCTATTTTCATAAAGAAATAAGGTCATTTATAATTTAACTCGATTTTGTCTTTGTCACGACTTCAATGTCATGAATTACTACTGTAATTATTATATCAGTGACAAAATCACTGTGACAAAATATCGTGCATCCTTATTCCATGCATTGTTAGTTGCATAATTACCTGTAAAATGATATTTCATTTCAACCTCTTGTGTTGTCGGGCTAGCTAAACGTTAAATTACATATCATAAAACACTTTTGTCGTGTTTCTTTACAATAAAGTCATGTTATTATCCAGTATTTAAGGATTTTTTTATGAAAATCAATACCTTGTTATTGTAGGTAAATGTCAAATCGTCTAACATGACTATTCCTAACTTCATACTAATCTGATACTTTTAATTTTCAAGTATCAATAGGACAAACAGTTTTCATTTTCTTTTTAAACTAGTTTTCAAGAAAGTGTGTTATTTTGCATAAGTAAATAGATATTGATATTTTTAGTTGTTTCTCTATAAAGACATGCCAGTGTCGTGTAAAACAGTGTTTTGATGATTTTGTACTAATTTAGAATGAATCAAAACTGTTTAAATTAGTGACGGAACCAGAATTACAAATCGTAAGTTTCCTGACAAAAACTATTTATATAGCGTTTTCGACTGGTCGCACTCAGTTCACACTCGTGAAGTACGAGTTTTCGTTGCTCAGCACTGGTTCAATTTAGTGACGTCATACAAAATTATTTCAACCGAATACGCAGTTGACCACCCAGTGCACTGTATTGTATTTGACAGCTATCATCTGAGTGATAAGCAGAAGTAATACCTTTTCCAAATTCCAAACAAGATCCAAGCCAAGCTTTTATTTTAAAAATTTATTTAATATTGTTATAGAATATTTTATCAACAGATTAACATAAACTTACTTCTGTTTATGTTCTTAAGATGTCAAGGGATACTATGCATATACAGGACTTACAAGAATATTTATAGTACCTACCTGGGAGTCATCCAGGTGCGACACCACCGATTCAATGTAATCTTTTATTTTTGGCAGTTTAGTTTTATGAAATAAAGCTTTAATTAAATATTCTTCGTCTGAATCTAACGAAGAAGTTTCCAATATTTCTATACAAATTCTAAAAAATTTACATATTTTAGAAACAACTCTTCATTTGCCATCGCCATATTTTTAACGACTGAACTGAAACCCCATCTGAAAATCTGTCTCTAAACTCGGTTCACAAAAGTGCGCACCGATTTATTTTTCTGAGTTCAACTAATTCCAACAGAAAATTCAAAAACTGATCCGGTTCACACTGCTCTTACGAGTCGAAAACAAATTTTGCAACGAGTGTTAAAAAGTGCGCACTAGTTTCATCAGTCGAAAACGCTATTATATATCGCCAACCTTTAATTTTTCGATATAACCTTTTAAAAGCAATGTAAATTTTGATTTTAAAACCAAAGAAAAAGGCATTTTTATTTTCATTTCGTAACTGGTGACTAACACTTTTCGTAATCAGTTGCATAGTTTTCTACTTTATTCAACTGGTTGCATGAAGTAGATTGTTTTGACACTTGTTGCGATTACAAAAGATGTCACTATATATGTCAAATTAGAGAAATAGCTAATTCGTAACCAGTTATATAAGGTTTGTTCCAACACGCGCGAAAACCGTAATATTACCGTACAAATCGTGCGCTCTACCCAAAAATTGTATACAGCGCATGATTTGTACTTTAATATTACGGTTTTCGGGCGTGTTGGAATGTTCAATTTTATGTAAATGATATCTTTTATGTCAAAATTAGAAAAAGAATTTGTCACTGCCATTTTGGCTTTGTATTTGAAAAGTTATGTATAGTGTGGCAAAGTCACAAGTTTGAAGATTATGTACCTCGAAAAATAAAAACCAGAGACTTTTAAAATAAAAATATAGTTGGATAGCAATTTAAGAAACCTTTTAAAACAAGTAGTGTTAGGGGTCTGTAGGTTTTCCTGTTTAAAATATAAGTAGATCCAAGACTAAATCAACCCGAGTATATTCTTGAATTATTACCGTGGCCCACTTTCCATGGGACTTCAACACTGCATTCGTGCCGACGAGAAAATTATCCAACTCTCACTTTTTAACACTTGTTTAAAAACGTTGCCTGGTCGTCTGTGAGTGTGTATGTAAGTTCACCGACACGATAACTCTCGAACTAATGCTTTGACCGACCTGCAGTTTTTACTTTATTTCATTAATTCTTCCAGATTTTCGGTATATATCAGTATTCACAAGATTTAAAAGCTATGCATGTCTTATGGAGCTTATTTTATGCAGGGCGGCATTAGATGCAATATTGTTTCAGGCACGGGTACTGATGCCACTAAATATCCATTATGAAGACTAGAGAGAAGGAGGCAAATCGGCAATGGTCAAATTTAAAATTTTCGTCCTTTATGTAAAGTTCACGAAATTGACAGTAATTGGCATGTCAAACAGCAGCGCTGTCAATTTTCTATATAAGTCAATGTAAAATGAAGTGATTTTTTAAAAAATTGTTGAAAAGAATCAAAATAATGTGAAAAAAGTATTTGAGTACAAGTAACATGAGTGACAAAACAACATCAAAGCAAGATTTACTTCGTTCCAGATTGTAAAACAGGAGGATACAAATCAAATTTAAAACTAAAGAAAACACAAAGAGAAATTAAATCAATACCTTTTTAAAGCTTCCAATGTTGGTAAAATAATGTATTTATGTCTAAATATATTATTTATTGTAAACTAGTCATAATATGTATGTATATTACGGAGTGTACTTTATTTTATTACAAGTTTCTATGATATAAAATTTTACAGTCATAGATCCTGACTTAAAAAACAACAATAATTATTCATTAAATTTAACTTACTAGAAAAGAAAATTTGTTTTTTATAGAGTTTTAATGTTGGATAAAGAGTTGCTACTGTTATTTTTTGTTGAACCCCAATTTTGTCATTGTAAATGTTTTGTATGCGATCCCAAATGCTTACAACAGTGGCAGCATATATATCGTTCCTACGGCCGATAAAACACTTTCTAGAGATGATGCTGTTCTACACTTTTTAGAAGATATTTTCAAGTATTATGAAACCATTTTTACTGATGGTACTGTTAGCAAAAGGGAAAGCCGAAATTAAAGGATGAGGTAATACCGTGTACATTCCCAAATCTCCCTTTATGCTTGTATTACAGCAATAAAAATATTTTAACTGTTTTTTATTCTGCTGTTAAAAATATAGGTTGAATTAAAAAAAAAATTGCCACAAAATTATACTTATCAAATTTTAGCATTCAACAAACCTTTTCGAATTTAGTCATACCCACCTAATTTGTATTTTATATAGATAAAATTAAATAATTTATCAATAAAACATGCAAGACTTATTCAGAAATAAATACAGCAGTATGTTATGTGCTTTATTTAGCCATAAACAAGTTTATTTTTATTATTTTGACAAAATTATATATTATTCCCATAAGAAGCCATGTATTTTGAACAGCGTTAGCAGTACCAGCGCCCCTGCGGTGAATTATAAAAGCGTGTGTTTTTTGGGATCATATTTCTAGTATGCCGATTCGCCTCCTTATCTTTAGTCTTCTTAATATCCATGCTTGTCAACTGTCAAACGACAGACAATTTTTCTAAATTCGTGTCATTCTTAAATGTCAAATACATTATTGAAAGTGTTAAAAAAATAAACCGTATATTTTTATATCTTTAGTCTATAGACTTAGGAAAAATCCTTAATAAAAAAATAGCTCACATTTTTTTGTTATCTAAGAATTAACAGTGAACTAATTTTAAAAACCTCGCATGTGTGAATCCTTCATTATCATTAACGCCTATTTGGTAGTACCGTGCATTGTTACAAACCAATTTATTAAGATTATCGTGCTACCCATCAGATATCCACTTCCTTTGGAAGCATCTCAACATGTGAAATACGGATCGTTGACCTTTGAAACCCGACTTAAAATAAAGCTTTTTAGCAATTTTGGCTTCAGTCCCATGATCGTAGAGCGGCTCGTAAAAATTTCGACGTGTAAAATTCTCGAGTACCAATCATTGTTTTGTTCCATTGCTGCTTCAAAAATGCAAGATCGATTGTCGAAGATAAGATTATCAAGTAGATAGGTATTATGTAAATGATTGATTCAGTAGTTTTGAATATTGATAAATTTGTTTTATTTTTGTTACATAATAAATGGAATATGTACGGATTATTGTACAGGATGTCCTAGAATATGTGGACAATCTCCCGGATTTAAATAAACACATAGGTAATATTTAATATTTATTTAGATAATATTTCCTACACAATGGTAAAAACTTACCTAACTTAGGTGCCGTTTGGCTATAACAATTTTACAATAACTGTCTCAAAAGTGGATCTATTCCCCAACAATGGAAACAATCTTTGATCTTGCCATTTGTAAAATCTGGGAAAGATAAATCATATCCAAATAATTATAGACCTATAGCTTTAACATCCTGCGTAGAAAAACTTCTACAAACACTTATCAAAAATAGAGTAGAATGGTATTTGAAAAACAAGTAAATCTTACATCATTTACGACTAGGATTTAGACGAGGAAAAGGCTGCACCATATCAATATCTTACTTAATCATTCAAGTCCAAATATCCTTCCCATCAAATAATTATACTATTGGTCCATTTCTTGATATTTCGGCAGCCTATGATAGTGTAAATATATATCTTCTGTACTCTAAATTAGTCAATATTGGTATTTCAATAGAGCTATGCATTCTTATCTATGCATTTCTAAATTTACAGATCCATTTCAATCTCAGATAACTGTGGTCAAAGTCATGGACCACGAATCTCCAATCAAGGACTTCCTCAGGGATCTCCCCTTTGCCCCCTTTTCTTCAATCTCTATATATTATCTTTATTTAATATACCAAAAACCTTTAAATTAATTCAATACACGGATGACATTGTAATTTTGGTTAGTGGAGAGAATGTCTTCAATATTATTGTAGAAATAAACTCTTTCTTGATTGCTTTCAAAGATTGGCTGGATGAGCACAATTTTAAATTGTCTATAACTAAATCATCGACTCTCCTTTTTTCAAAAGGTCGTATTAAATTAATTCTCCCAAAAATTAAATTTATTGATACAATCATTCACTGGTCAGATTCATTTAAATATTTAGGCGTTTACATTCATAAACATTTAAAATGGAATGCACATATAAATTACATTGAGCAAAAAATTAACAGAGGTTTAAATGTCATGCGAGCTCTTTGTGGTATGTGGTGGGGCAGTGATCCAAAAATTCTTCGCATAATACACAACGCTAACATTTTAAGTCATATAGATTATGGATGCCAGGTAATTTCTCCATGTCCGAAATACCTTCAGAAGAAGTTGGACAGGTTACAATATCAGAGCTTACGTGTCATTACTGGTTGTATGAAATCAATCCCAATTTATGCTTTGCAAGCAGAGAGCGGGGATATCTCCTTAAACTTAAGAAGAGACTGGCTTTGTTATAAATTTCTTTTAAAAAATCTTGCATTGGAAAATAACCCTGTCATCAATTCGTTAAAACATTTGGCAACACTAAATAAAGAAAGAAATGTTTATAAAAAGATAACTGACACTCCAGTATTATTAGGTTTAATAAACCAAATGGAAAAGTTCCTTCTAAATATGTATTCTAATCAATTGCTGCCATGCCATGAATTTGAATTGGTCATCCAACTTTCTCCAATTCCAGTTTTAAATCTTAGATCAATTAGGGATGACACTTATGGCTTATAGGCTTATCCATCTGTACTGACACAATAAACATGCTACCCGGTTACACAAAATTCTTCAACGACGGATCTGTGAAACCTTCTAATGATTCAGGCTTCGGAGTATTTTCTCTAGACCTTAACTACTGCAGAAATTATTGCAATTAACCATCCTTGCAAATCATTTTAGAAAAAAAATATCTTGAACTCGGTTATCTTCTCGGACTCCAAATCTGCTTTGCAAAAAATTGGAAACTCTCTACATTGCTCCTTTCTAACAAAACAAGGTATCTTACTTGCTAATATGAATAACATCCACAACACTTTGGCATGGATTTCAGGGCACTCCGGCATTATTGGCAACATAAAACCGACCAATTAGCAAATATAGGAAGAATTCTTAAAATTCCTGTAAATATTAAACTCAGTATGTCTAACTTTGTACGCTTCATTAAACAAGAAATTTGGAACAAATGGCTTCAACAGTAGAATTCCCTAAAAGAAAAGAAAACATCTTTTTACTTCCAAGTGATCCCTGAAATACCCAAAACTCTGTGGTTTATTAGTAAACAATGCAATGGAAGAAGGTACCTTTCCACAATCATACGGATGAGAACTGGCTATTGTCTAACCCCATATCACCTATTTCGAATTGGAATTAAAGATGACCCATTTTGCGAGTGTGGAGAAGTTGGATCGTTAAATCATATCATCTTATTAGAGTGTCCTATTAATAAATCCCCCCTTTTTGATCTGTATTATCAGCCCCATTTGATATTCGCTACATCTTGTCTCATTTGGATGATAGAAAAATAACCACCCTTTCCAAATTTTTAAATTTATTTAAAGTCAATACCTAAATTATCTAGTAGAAGCAAATCAACTTTATCCGGATAAATTGTTCGCAGTAATATAGCCCAAAAAAAGAAAAGAAGAAGAAACACATAGGTAAAAATAACATGACATGTTGCTTTAAATTATTGATGTCCCTATAAATGGTTATTTTTCATTGTCGCGAAATAAGAATTATTGTTAGATTAAAATACTAGTAAGGTTATATGTTATATTAGAAATAAATGGCGCGTCTTTATCAACAAGTTATCTTAATGAGTTCTGTCGAAATGTCCTATAAATAAAGTTTCAAATTTGTTGGGGTGTCGTATTACACAGCAAAATTGGTAAAAAGTTAGTATTAAAGGACAAGCAATAGTTAAACAATAAATGGTGGTATTTTAGTAACGCAAAGTTCATTTTTAATACGTTTAAATTTTTTATTTGCTTTTGTAACAATAGCTTTTTAAAAAGGACCACTGCTGTCACTAGTGTAATAACCAGTTGGTTTCTAACTACAGTTATCAATATACTATTAAGGGATGAAGGCAGCACTATCACCAGCCAAAGGGTCCTGGAGTCCGAGTCCAGAAGGAACATCCATTCACTAGTGGAAAAAAAAATAATAAAAACAAAATAAGCCCTAAATAGCTAAAGCCTCTTCTAGTCCTTAGGTGTAGAAACTCCGAGTCTTCACAAATACTCGGATTTTAGAAAGGAAAGAAAAGGAAATAATAATAATATTAATAATTAGTGACTAACCAGTAACTTATGAACCTATATTTAAAATATTTACAAAATGACTAATAGTCTCAAGAATAAATTAAAACAATTTTATGTAGGAAATAAAACTTGCTATGGTTTAACCACTATTTAATAAAAAATAATACGCAACATTATGACATTATAAACTTCCCATTGAATTATACAGTTTGGGCCTAATAACTACAACAGTACTGGAAAATTTAACTACATATGACAAATATAAAATGTATAAACTTTGGATAAAAAATGGAAAAATTGGCATTTAAAGGAAAATAACTGATTTCTCTAAAACAAAACCAAACAACACTTTTAAAATAATTAAAGATAATTTATCTCTGGAACACAAATAGTTGCACAAAACTTTATTTGACACATTAACATAGAGTCCCGAAGGAACAGTCTCTACTAGCATGTCTTTTCTGCAAGTGTTTCGGTCCTTACTCAATTATCAACACTCCATCTAAACCAAAAATTTACGTGACATGATAATTATTATTAACGTATTACCTTGGCTAAATGTAAACCATTGACTGTAATAATTACATAATTGTTTGGTTTATTCCAATTCGTTGTTTTCTATTTGAATATTTAGTTAAAACATTTAATACCTTTAGAATTTTTGGGTAATTCTTTTTATTTTACTAACAATAATGCGAATTATTATACTTTCGTGTATTCTTAAATTTCTCTTCTTATTTTCATCACCCAGATAAAATATTTCTTAATAAATTTTCAAATAATTAAATTCCTATGGATATGAAAATCTTAAAATACTGATTTCCAAAGATTTTCAACTTCTCTGAATCTTTTTCTTTTTAATACAAGTTGTGATAAACTGTTAAATATTGTTTCTGACTATTATTTAATGTAAAATATAATTATTTGTTAAAGTTAAACGAAAATAACAGTTAAAAGCTGTTTTATTGGAGCGTTTTAATTATATCCAGAAACAGTTTACCTACACAAGCATTGATTTTTCGCTCTATTAAACAAAAATCAGTGATTTATTTGCCGACGAAAAACGATACAAATTAGAATCAACAATTCCCGATATCTTACGGCAACTACCAATGATAAGTAGAGAAAATATATTTTAAGAAGAAAGTGCTTATTCTCTTCCATTTATGATTTTAAGAGTTTGTTACATGAAAACTCAAAAAGATGCAATAACAATTTGGTATCAGGTATAGTCAAAATATTTATATGATGCTATATACATACAACCAATACAACAATATTCACATTATTAGTAACATAACCTTTATTTATCATAGAATTAAAAAAAAACAAAAAAATAATTGAAAAAAAATAGCAAATATAACAAAAAACAAAAACTCAAAAAACAAGAAAACGAACAACAACAAAAATGGGTACCAACTTAAAAAATTACTATAAATTATTATTAATCAATACAAATTTTAACTACTAGGAACTAGATGTGTAACAATGATATTGTAATATCAAAATAACGACTAAACAAGGTAAAGATAGGTTTATCGAAAA